GCTTGCTCACACACATGCACACACACATGCTTTGACTAGATAACACATTCACAGGTTCAAAAATAGATAAGGCATACATCAAGAAGAATTGTTCCCACCCTATCCCAATTCATCCCTCTCCTGGGGTCTATTTGCTTATATTTTATTCAACCAGCTCTTTGAAATCCTTATAAGATTATGTTTTTAAAAATATATATTTTATTGATTTTTTACCGAGAGGAAGGAAGAGGGATAGAGTTAGAAACATCGAGGAGAGAGAAACATTGATCAGCTGCCTCCTGCACACCCCCTACTGGGGATGTGCCTGCAACCAAGGTACATGCCTTTGACCAGAATTGAACCTGGGATCCTTCAGTTTGCAAGCCGACGCTTTATTCACTAAGCCAAATTGGTTAGGGCAGATTATATTTTGATTATCCAAATTTACAATACTGTTGAGCTTTGCTATTTCCTCCCCTGAAATAACATCATTTCTTACTTTTTCTAAAATATTCTCTTTTTCTGCCTTTTGTCATAAAGTCATACAATAATTTGTTTTTTTCTGGTTGTCTCCAAATTAAGGGCTTAGTATAATTCAGTAACCTGATTATTAGTACTTAGATTATCTTCTAATCAACAATTATATTAAAGAAAATTAACTATCAAATTTATTTTTACTTATTATCTCACTTATTGTACTTATTATTACTTATCATATCACATATAACTTTTAACCTAGGACAAAAATCCTATCTAATAAAAGGGTAATATGCAAATAGACCAAATGGCAGAACAACTGAACAACCAATCAAAGCACCATATTAAGTGCTCAACCTGCATTATTAATCTTCACAACCAATGGTTGTGTTAGGTAAACCTCTCCTCTCACAAGATTTTTAATTTTCTATATTTATTTTAAGGCCTTTATTGTATATTTCACTTTGAAAGACTGGTCCTCAGTAAGTCCATCTTGAGAGAATTATTCAGTGATGCTCACACTCAAGGTGATATATCTTATTAAGCGGTTAGTTTCGAGGTTCTTTCCGACGCAGATTTGTAAGCCAGTGTGTAATAATCACACATGGGACTTGTTGCCTGGCAGCACGTGTCCCTGAGTGGTAGTACATGGCTTGCATTGTAATGCCATCAGTGCCAGGGCCAGCTGGCTGGACATGTACTGCCACATGGGCCAGGGACTCCATTCCTCAACAAAACAGCAGCCAGCTCTAGGGTTAACAGAAAATGACAAACCAGGCGTGGATGAGGGAGGCGCCAGCAGAGCAGCGGGATGTCCTTTGATTTGCTTCTATTATTTGCATGTCTTTCTTGTGATGTCTGTGAAATGTTCAGAATGACAAAGTTTTTAAAAGACCTGCTGACTCTGCCTGAAAAATGTGAAAAACCTCCCGTTTAGAGCCTATTATGTCCAGCTAGCCTGCATTTTCTATATCTTTCTCTTCATTTTTTATTAATGCAAACATTTGCATGAAGACAGAACCTTTGTTTCTTAAAGAGTTCATCTGCTCCTGCTGCTTACTGGCCCTGCCATGCAAGAGCACAACAGAACCTTTGTTACGCTCAGAGCAAAGCTGTTTATGAACGGTGGCTTACTGAGGACTGCTTCCTGTGCTGTGTCCTTCCATTTTGTTTCAAAAGGAAAAAAGAACATAGTTCTTACGAGTGAAAAGGATTTGGACTTTCTTTTATTCAAATCCTGGATGTTGAAATGACAAAAAGCCCCCAAATTTGTGAGGGACTGGTAATTGCATCGAATGCATTTTTTTCACTTTCCCTTGAACATAATGAGGCTCTTAGTAACAATGGAAGGAACAAGTGCTTTCCCATTGGAAGAGAGAGAAGGAACAGTAAAAAGGCAACAGAAAGAGGTTCCTCCTGTAAGAACCCTAATATTGTATCACAGACTGTGTTTTGGTACTTAGTGTTTCCCACCTGGGAGGCACAGTGCTAAAATGGTTGAGTTGAATGAACAATAGTATCAGGATGTATAAATAGGGATACAGTTTATGTGTTTGTTTAATAACTATTCGAATGACTGCAATGTGGAAGACACTGAATGGTCCTGAGTGTCAAAGGGTATAAAAAATAAATGAGTCATGGTTCCTATCTGTATTTAAGGAGTAGGATGATATTGGAAAAATTAAAATAGTTGTTGAGGGAGTTTAGGAAAAGGAAGATTGCTTCTGGAGAGAATCAGGGAACTCTTCATGAAGAAGGTGGCATTCCACTTGAGCCTGGCAGGAAAGGTAGGCTTGGACAATGCAACATTCCTAAGAATGATGAATCAAAAATTATGTCAGGCCGAAACCGGTTTGGCTCAGTGGTAGAGCATCAGTCTGCGGACTGAAGGGTCCCGGGTTCAATTGCGGTCAAGGGCATGTACGTTGGCTGTGGGCACATCCCTGGTAGGGGTGTGCAAGAGGCAGCTGGTCGATGTTTCTCTTCCACGTTTCTGGCTCTCTATCTCTTTCCCTTCCTCTCTGTAAAAAATCAATAAAATATATTTTAAAAAAAATTATGTCAGTCTGTAAAAATAAAGTCCAAAATACATTTTTTATAGGCTACTTAAGAGTTTTACACCATTAATTTAGATATGTTCAGCTAAATTAATGTGTTGGCACGCGTTTTCTATGTTAACTAAACTAGGGACTCTCTCTCTAGTCTGTGCTCTTTATGTATGACATCTGTGCACTTTGGCCTACGCTTCTGGGGCATCTATAAATATCTATATTAGAAATACTTTACTTTTGTAACAAAAACAGAAACCTGAAGGGATTATTGAGCACTATTATGAGCCACATTTCAGAAGTAGAGTGTGGACATAGTTTTAAGTAGGGACTGACGTGTGAGACTGTGTGAGATTTGAAAAAGAATCCCCACCTTCCTACAGAGGCAGTATCAACCAGAAGAGAGAGGAATTCTAAGCCCATGAATTTTCAGCGGCCTTAAGTTAGAACTCTTCTCTATCTTTCTGCCATTAGATAAAATGAGATCCTGTTACTGTTTTGTGAATTGTGAGTGCCAACTAATTTTAATGGAAAAGTTTGAATGCAAAATGCCAAGGAATGATGTTATTGCATTAGTACCTTATGTAGGTGCAGTAATATCACTAATCCATAGTTAAATTTCATATTACCAAACTTAATTGCTAGTAATCTATAAATGCATGTTTGCCTCAAAGGCTAACCATGACTATATAGCACAATTAATCTTCACCCTTTAACTTTAGTATATTTTGTCCTGGCATGACATAAGTGGTACATGATTTATTCCATGTTTGTCAATGTATAGGTATAATTGTTATTATTATTATTTTTTAAATATTTTTATTGATTTTTTACAGATTGGAAGGGAGAGAGATAGAGAGCTAGAAACGTCAATGAGAGAGAAACACTGACCAGCTGCCTCTTGCACACCCCCTACCGGGGATGTGCCTGCAACCAGCGTACATGCCCCTGACCGGAATTGAACCTGGGACCTTTCAGTCCGCAAACGGACGCTCTACCACTGAGCCAAACCGGTTTCAGCATAATTGTTATTTTTTAAAACCTGGTTCTGGAAAATCGTTTTGTGATTGTTTATGGAGTTGATTTGGTAACTAGACTGCTCTTTGAGGAACTATTTTGCAAAGCTATTGTGATGACAATTTTACTTGGGTATTTCCCATAGATTGCAACTGTGGGAAACTTAAGTGCCACTTTAAATTTCTCTGACATTCAGGCAGTACTCTTTGTTATGGTGAGCTAGCTAAGTGTTTTAAGTTTGGACCTCTGTAAAAGCCTCCTTAAAACAATGCAAAACTCCAGCCAACTAATTCTACATTATGAGATTTAGTCTGGAAATATGGAAGCAATATGATTTAAGCTCTTAGCCTTAATTGGCATCCCCAAAATATTAACAATCACCAGTGTTAGGAAGGAGAAGGGAGGAGGGAAGGATTATGGTTAACTAGAGACTGTTTGAATGTCAACGCACTCAGCTTTGCACAGCTGTTAACTTATCTATTGGTTGAGGTAAGTAAACTTTAGCTTTCCATCCCCTACTTTACATAAAGATCTTTAGTCACCTCTAGTTTTTGTTGTCACAGGTGATGTTAACACATGTGTAATGCTTTGCTTGTCCCTGGCTTGCCTTTAGGTATTTTGACTAGCTGTATAGCAGTGGTTTGGATGCCCAAAAGTGATGTATTAGTTTTGTCTGTTTTATAATTAACTATTATTGTAAAAGGTATTTCCTTAATTTTTAAATTTGTTCTTAGAAAAGTCCATTTGATAAAAGTCATGTTGCATAACTCTTGAAAAGCTGCAGTAGCCCTGGCTGGTTTGGCTCAGTGGATAAAGCGTCGGCTTGCGGATCGAGGGGTCCCAGGTTCGATTCTGGTCAAGGCCACATGCCTGGGTTGTGGGCTCAATCCCCAGTAGGGGACGTGAAGGAGGCAGCTGATTGATGATTCTCTCTCATTGATGTTTCTATCTCTCCCTCTGTCTTCCTCTCTGAAATCAATAACAACATATTAAAATCAATAAAGGCTACAGTATAATGTTGTGCAGACCAAAGACATGGATTCAAATCTTGTCTCTGCTGCTCACTCTTTAGATAAATTACATAAATGAATCTTTCTTTTTTATCTATAAAATTGAGATGAAATAAAGTACCTATTTCATAGTATTGAAAATTAAATACCCATAAAATACTTAGAATTAATTAAAATGCTTAAAATTAATACCCATAAAATACTTAGAATGCTATTATTTTGTAGGAAATGGGTTTGGTTTTTAACTGGTCCTGGATTATTTGAATCTTTGAAAATAATTACATATGTAATTAGAAATAAACATTTTTTAAAATGTAAAGATCATGCCAGTAATTCAACTGTCTGGTTTCCCAATTTAAGCTTCTTTACTAGTATTAACAATGGAAAGCCAGCAATATCTAGATAATACAGTGTTAAATGGGATACACTATAAGTGTTTAGATTTTTTCTTGTTTTTGTTTGTTTGTTTATAAATATGGAATGCTTCACAAATTTGCATGTCATCCCTGTGCAGGGGCCATGCTAATCTCTGTAGCATTCCACTTTTAGTATATGTGCTGCTGAAGTGAACACCTTGTTTTTGTTTTTGCTTTTGAGAGTTAGGGCATGGGCTTTGGAGTCAAATTTTGAATCGTAGCTTAGCCATTTATTAAGACTTTGAGCAGGTTCCTTAACCTTTCTGAGCTTCAAAAACAGTTTACTACCTACCTCATTGGGTTGTATAAGGATTGCATGTGCTAATTTTCCTCATTTCCCCATCTCCTTTGATTAAAGGAAATTGGTCTTGTGTGGTCTAAGATCAAAGATGGTCATGTTTGGGTGATAAAATATTTCCCCAAAACATTCTATATCCCTAGATCAGGACATACCATAAAGACAGAGGATGTAAGTAATTAATTTTAAAGGTCTATTAATTTTTAAACCATTAAGCTAAGTCTTTGTATTTAACAAGATCAGTACTATATCATATTAGTGATTTATAAATGATATTGAATTTGAATTTTTTAAGTTAACATGACAGGTTGTTGGTAATAGCAATAATTTTCTTTTAATCTCAGAGGACTGCTTTAATTTAATTCAACATTTATTTGTGCTAACCAGCATCTCAGAGGCTTCAAAAAACAAAATGTCTCTCAAAAGCACTCTGTCATGGGAAGAAAAAGTCATATTTAAATTGAATATGTATATTCTGCTTTTCTCTTACACTGCTATTGCTGTTGGGTATATTTATTAATATTACATATAATGTGAATATTTTTCCAGTGAGACTATTTATTCTAGTATAGGAACTCTGTATTAATAATAAGAGTGGTCTAACTAATATTGTAAGTGGAAATTCTAGGCCCCTCAAGCAAACATTTCCAAATGGGAGCCCTTATCATTTAATTGCAAAACAAACAACTAATACTTTGATGGTATTTAAGCCTTGGAAAGGAGTAAAAAGAAATAGTCTTGGACTTTCCCCATATAAATTAGAGTCTTCTGAGCAGCAGTTAATAAGTGAATGCTTCCCACATGTTTAAAGGCTATAACTGAAATGGGTATATGATTATGTGAATTATTATACAGTGGTGGGCAAAAGTAGGTTTATAGTTGCACTGTGACATTCTTTTGAGTTAATAAAGATATTGTAATCATCATAACCTACATGTCTTTTTCCATATGTACAACTATATTTTTTCTTTTTTAAAATATATTTTATTGATTTTTTTACAGAGAGAAAGAGAGAGGATAGAGAGTTAGAAACATCGATGAGAATCATCAATCAGCTGCCTCTTGCACACCTCCTACTGGGAATGTGCTTGCAACCAAGGTACATGCCCTTGACCAGAATCGAACCTGGGATCTTTCAGTCTGCAGGCCGACACTCTATCCAGGCGTCTTCAAACTTTTTAAAGTGGGGGCCAGATCATGGTCCCTCAGAGAGCTGGAGGACCGGACTATATGAACTACTAATTCCTACTGTAACACCTTGGCTGCGCTCACTGCCCAAAAAACCTGGCGGGCCGGATCAGACTACTCTGCGGGCCGCAGTTTGAAGACGCCTGCCTATCCACTGAGCCAAACCGGTTTCGGCTCCATATGAACAACTATAAACCTACTTCTGTCTTCCCTGTGTGTGTATGGTTTAATATAACCCAGGAATTTTTGAAGATAATCCATAAATATATTTGGTTGAATGAACAGAACTGTAAATAAGTGAGTAGAAGGCTATAGAAGGTTTCTCTTGGTGTGCATTAGCATTAAAACCCTATTGTCTTGTGAGTTTTGCAGTGCTGTGGAGGGATACATAGTAACAACCAATAACAATAATAAAAACAGTTTATATTTATAGCACACATATTATGTGTCAAGCAATATGCTAAGATTATTACATACATTATTCTATTTTCTCCTCACTACAATCTTAGATGGTAGCTACTATTCTCCAATTTTATATCTAGAAAAGGGCAGGCAGAGAAATTAGGTAACTTTTTAAAAGCCACATAAGTTAATAATTGCCAGAGCTAGTAATCAAATTGAGGTCAGTATGACTCCAGAAACCTTTTATATAGCAGGAGCGTCTCTGATATAGAGATTAATATTGTAGATCAGGAGGTGACTCAACAGAACCAAGACGTTTCTGATCCACAATTTCCTTCACTTGAGAGGTTCATGTGAAGATCATACAGTGTTTACTCATATTTCACTTGGATTTTTCAGGGCAGCATGTTCAAGTTATAAGTGTTTATCTCAGACAGAGCTCCTATCTGAGCAAGACATCGATGCTTGGGCCTCAGTGTGGATTTCAGAACAATAGAGCCTTATTGGTACACGTTTGAAAGCAAACTTGATTCTGGTCTTGTGGAAGTCCCAGCAAAGCAAGAGAGAAAATGGCAATCTGAGATGATTTTCCTTTTCCAAAAGGGCAGCTAAGGTGCCCACATATCTTTGCCCTCCGGGGATGCAGGTGTGCAGTTTGTATTCTTTAATCATTCACACAAATTAAAGCGTATTCCCTTTGCATTTAAAAAGTAATGTAAAATGACATTCTTCATGTTTTATTGCCAGGCAAGAGCTTTGAACTTCTGTTTCATTGAAGTTTGATAAACTGAAAGGGTTTTTCAGGATTGGGTGGTGCACTTAACCACAAAGGGAACATTGGGCTGATAAGAGCTGCAGGTGAAGGAAACCACCAGAGAACTGCAATCAGAGTTCTTCACACTGTCTGTGTGAAATCTCAGAGGGGAGGCACCTTTTCCCGCCTCTGCTGGCTCTTCTTAGCTGCTTCTCTTCTCCCACGGATAAAAGAGCACCAGGGCTTTCTGTTTCCACTTTGTGAACTAGGGGGGGTAGGGTGGGATGGTTCTTAAGGTCTAACTTTGTGCAAATGTTAATTCCCCCCGCCCCCCCGCCACGGACATATGAGTTCATATAGACACAAATGGACATCGCTCAGGTAATTTTATTATCAATATAAACCCCTATCTTTGTCTATGTGTAAAAATCATATTTACTTCCAAACTATTATAAAATGTCAATGGTAAGTCAGTACGGTATAGTGTTAAGAGCAGGGGTTCTTGATAAGAGGCAAACTGGTTTGAATCTTGGCCTCTCTTTTTTACTAACTGCATGATCTTGAGCAAGTTACTTTAATTTTCTAAATCTCAGTTCTCCCATTTGTAAAAATGGAAATAATCAAAACACCTACCGTGTTTCCACGAAAATAAGACATCCCCTGAAAATAAGACCTAGCGCAACTTTGGGAAAAAAAATTAATATAAGACACTGTCTTATTTTCGGGGAAACAGGGTATCATAGGATTGTTGTGAAGACTAAATGAGGGGGTTGAGGACAAATATGTGATACCTTAATCAATAAAGAAATTAAAAAAACCCAAAACAGCCGAAACTGGTTTGGCTCAGTGGATAGAGCGTCGGCCTGCGGACTGAAAGGTCCCAGGTTCGATTCCAGTCAAGGGCATGTACCTTGCTTGCAGGCACATCCCCAGTAGGGAGTGTGCAAGAGGCAGCTGATCGATGATTCTCTCTCATCGATGTTTCTAACTCCATCTCTCTCCCTTCCTCTCTGTAAAAAAAATCAATAAAATATATTTAAAAAACAAAACAAAACAAAACAAAAACCCAAAACAAACAAACAAAAAAAGACTAAATGAAATAATGCATCCTACCTAATAAAAGACTAATATGCAAATTAACCAGCACTCCGCTATATCCACCAGCCACACCCACCAGCCAATCAGAGTGAGTATGCAAATAAACCCAACCAAGATGGATACAGCCATAGAGAGATGGAGGGAGGCCAAGCTTCCCACCTGCCCTTACCAGCCTAGGCCTCCACTCAAGGGTACAAAGTTTCAATTATGGAAGGTAAACAAATCCAAACAGAAAAGGCTGCTGGCCACCGAGTGAGCAGGAGGCTTGGCTCTGCTCCAGGCTACAAAGTTTCAATTGTAGAAGGTAAATAGATTCCAGATACCAGGGCCTCCACTTGTGTCGCCAGGGGGCATGACTGGCCTTCAAACCACCACAGGCCCCTTGCTCAGGCCACCCCATGCCAAGGGAACCCCCACCCTGATCCGGGACACCCTTTAGGGCAAACCAGCTGGCAGTTAGGGGTGACCAGGCCAACAGAGGAGGGAAGTTGAGAGCAAACAGGCTGGCAGGGGAGCAGTTAAGACATCAATCAGGCTTGCATGGGAGTGGGAAGCAGAAGCAGTTAGAGGCAATCAGGAAGGCAGGCAGGAGAGCAGTTGGGAGCCAGCAGTCCTGAATTGTGAGAGGGCAGTCAGACATCCCTAGAGAGGTCCCAGATTGGAGAGAGTGCAGGCTGGCCTGAGGGACGTGCCCCCCTCCCCTCCACCCCACCTCCGGCCCCAGGCCTTTGGTGTAAAATAATTAGCCCAGTATCTGGCACATTGTTGTTCAATAAGTTTCATAGGTGCTCAAAATTGGTAGCTGTTATTGTTAACATTATTATATTAAACTCTAAACATCTGATTGGTAGATTAAACAGGTATAATCCTTTATTTTTCTTTCCCCCTCTCAAAAAAAAAAAAAAAAAAAAGTTTGTTTTCCAGAAAATTTCTTCTGTCTTTCTAGGAGGATAAAAGTACTTTGATTCAAACATTCCTTCGTTAAAGGGCTTTCACACTTACTTGTGCCTGTGGAACTAGGGAGAAGTAGCATGATTTGCTTCTAAGTATGGCAGAGCACTTTCATTTCTACCATTTAAAAAACTCCTGTACTCGCCTTAGGTAGATCTAAGTCATAGAAGCCCATATAGACAAAGGAAGAAATATTTTTGTAGGGTCAGGATAAATGGGTGGAAGAAGGGAAGGAGAATACAAAAGTGAAAATATAGCTGGTTTTAATGTTAGCTTGGCTGTTTCTTCTCTCAATTTAATATGTACTTAATTATAAAACAATTAATACCAGAAATTGGCATGTATTATCTCACAGCTTCCTTCAGTTTTGCCATTTCTTAGAGAAGTAGTTTTCCACTTGGAAACTGTTGATAAAGCACTGATTTTGTCTTCCCATCTTTTGGGGGTGAAGAACCTCTGCAGTGAT